TATATATATATATATATATATATATATATATATATATATATATATATTTATACATATATATATATATATATATATATATATATATATATATATATATTTATACATATATATATATACATTTATGTGTATATGTGGTTTTGTGTATGGGCGTGTGCCTGCATGTATGAGTGTGTTGTGTGTGTGCAGTATGTATGAATAGATAGATGTATATTATCTATATATAGTTCCTTCGCGACCCCTTCCCGCGGCCCTCTTCCCATCAGAAAGGATCAAGAAACCGAGCTCCGAGCAGAAAGCAGTGTCGGTGCCTCTGCATCAGTGTCATTGGCTGCAGACACATGTGAAATGTTATAGCCAAGACTTTGATGTTTATAGCATAGATCTGTAGATTACTGTAATAGATGGAAATGTAAGTCAGCAACATACACGTATTTAATGTATGTCTGTGTAAATGTTTACGTATGTATATATATATATATATATATATATATATATATATATATATATATATATATATATATATATATATATACACATATATATGTATGTGTATATGTGTGTATGTGTGTGTGTGTGCGTGTGTGTGCGTGTGTGTGTGGGGGGGGTTGTGTGTATACATCTATGTATATATGTATATATATAACATATATACATATATATATATATATATATATATATATATATATATATATATATATATATATATATATATATATATAATGTGTATATAATACATACATATATATATATATATATATATATATATATATATATATATATATATATATATATATATATATATATGTATGTATACATATATATGTATATGGTATGTTCTTATGCCTTTATACATTTCATTCATTTCGAGTACCATATCAGCTGCTGACATTGGCGATCATGATTTTGAACCTAGATCGGTCTTGAGCGAGATGAAGAAGCTCTTCTTTCCGGACGCTGCCTGCTGCCGGAGCCAAATCATCCAAATACATTTTTCTCTGTCTACCTCTAGCTCTTGATCCATCAATTTTGCCTTCAAGTACTAACTTTTCGAGGCCATCTTCTCTAACAATGTGACCGAGAAATCTAAGTTGTCCTTGAGTTATTTTTTTATTAATCATTTGCCTTTGTTCTTTATTTTTTTCTAAAACATCTTCATTTCTGTCCAGGGCATCTTCATCATTCTGCGATAACACCACATTTCCATTGATTCCAATTTCTTTTTCATATCCTTACTGATGGTCCATGTTTCACTTCCATATAATAAAACTGACCAAACATAGCATCTCCGAAAGCGTTTCTTTGTTTCGATTGATACGTTTCTATTAGTTAATATGTTCTTCTTTTCTATAAATTCTGTCTTTGCAATTGCTATTCTACGTTTAATTTCTATATCACTTCTGGCGTCACTAGTAAGAGTGCTCCCTAGATACTCGAATTCATACACTTGATCTATTGCTTCATCTTTCAACTGGAAATTTGCATCTAGAAATTGTCTTGTTCTTGATAAATACCATCACGTTTGTTTTCTTTTTGTTTATATTCAGACCTCTTTTTTACTTTGTACTTTCAGATTTTTTTTACATTTTACATTTTTGTTTTTTCAAGGATTTAATAGCTTTTTCAATTTCACATTTTAAAATGATTTTCCTTGTCAGTTCTGTTTTGGGATTTTCTTTTTCCTTCTCAGGTCTATCGTTAAATAGCTCACCGATATATTGTATCCATCAGGTTAAGACTTGTTTTTTCTCGAAAATTACATGGCCATTTTTATCTCTTAATGCTGTGTTTGCGGTTTTCTTTTTTGTTTTGGTCATACTCTTAATTCTATAATATATTAATGGCTGGTCTTTCTTTTCAAGTTCTTCTATTTCATCACACTGTTTATTTATACATTCGTGTTTGGCTTGGGCACACTTTTGTTTGATGAGCTTGTCTATATCTTTATAACGTGTAGGTTTGTTTTTTATTTTGTACTTACGTCTTTGATACATTAAGTCTAATATTTCATTTATCATCCATGGCTGTTTGCTTGAGTTTTTCTTTTTGGTAAGATCTAATTAGCGCTTTCTGTAAGTATCTTTTCTAATTGGTTCCAGTTTTCACATGGGTCCTCGTCATGATTTTCTTCAATTTCCAAGGCATTAAATCTATTTGTGACTTCTATTTTGAATTGGTTTGCAATTACACTGCTGTTTCTTAGTACACTAAAATCAAGCTTTGGCTCTTTTCTTGTGATTTTAGTCTTTTTAAGTCTACAATCTATGTTAGCATAAAGAAGTGTGTGGTCACTGTTACAATCAGCACTAGGTATTGTCTTACATTGTTTTATACTGTTTCTAAATCTTTGATTGATACATATGTAGTCGATCTGGTTTCTGATTTGACCACCAGGGTTTTTCCAGGTAAATAGCCTTCTTTTGTGATGTTTGAACCAGGTGTTCATGATTGCTAGATCTCTTTCCTCACTCCACTGAATATATGTTTCTCCTCGATCATTTCGTCCAAAAGGGCCAACTACCATTTTATGTTTGCTATTTGCTATTTCTGACTTTAGAATTGAAATCGCCCATTACAAACTTTATTTCTTGACTTTTGCATGTCTTAAATGTCATATCCAGTTGTTCATAGAAGGTCGTTAATTCTTCTTCGCTTGATGCAGAAGTTGGTGCATAAGCTTACACTGTGTTCATATCAAATTGTTTACTTTTAAGTTTAATCATCATTATTCTATCTGATAATGTCCAGCATCCTAGTATATATTTCGTCAGCTATTTTTTTATCACTATTGCTACACCTCTCGCGTGTTCTTCGCCACCGGAGTAATATATTGTATAATTTTCCGAGCATATCTGTCCATTTCCAGTCCATCTTGTTGCACATATGCCAAGTATGTCAATATTTAATCTGCCCATTTCAACCTTTATATTTTCAAATTTGCCGGCCATAAAAAGTGTTCTTACATTCTAAGTACTAATATGTAAACTTAGTTTTGTAGTTCGTTTTGCAGCAGTAGCTTGATGACGGTCAGAAGTTACCTGTTGCACATAATCCTTCCTACCGGGCGAGACACAGCCAATATTGTTGACCGTACCTTTCACGTCGTTATGGTTATTCTTGTTTAGGTTCATTTATTCATGATTAAAACTAGGGAGAGTACTAAAGTGGTTTCCGGTTACCTTCTTTAGCTGCAGTATCTATCTAACTAAGACTATAATCCTGGCCATTGATTTAAGAAAAAATCATCTGGCCAGCATTTAATCTTGAGACCAATGATTTCATCAACTGAAAATTGCTCTCAAAGATCATTCACCGCCTGCTAGTCATGGCTTCACGTAACCCTGGTCGGGAGGCTAGATGGGTGCCACACCTTGCCCAAGGGTGACCCATAAGGCTATCGGACGGAAGGAGCACCTTACATCTCCTTTTGTAGCGCAGCGGTCTACACCGACACCGGAGCCTTTATTCATATGTAATCTAAACCATACGAGGCATTCAAACACTCGCAACCAAGCTAACCTGAGACATGTAATATTAGATGATCAAATGTTGGTCCCTCTTTAAGTGTGTAGTTGGAAAGCTTACTGTGACTGAGTTATGTTCGCAAATCACTTATTAATCGTATTTTGCAGTTGTCAAGATCAGCAGTTAACGATACCGATATTACAAACATTGTCTTTTTTTGACCATGCGATTGCGGTTTAGATGAAGCAATACGAAAGAAAAGATAAATTAAGTTTTTTTTTATGATAAGAAAGTAAGCGTATTAGTCTTGTTCTTCGAAATCCAGATATGGATTGCAGAGAACCTGGAGCTGGCGGGTCGTACCTGCGAGCTCTGGTCGTATTCTTGCTCATCTTTCCTCCCGGTGGTCGTCCGAAGAACGTCCCATCAGGTGGTCGGAGTTAAGACATTTTACATCAAGGAACATTACGTGCCAAGTGAGGGACTGATATATGTACGTATTTTACAAAAGAAAAGAAATAGAAAGAAAGAAAGAAAAAATGTATATACATAAACACACACACGCACACATACATACACACACACACGTGTATGAGTGTATATATATATATACATATATGTGTGTGTGTGTGTGTGTGTGTGTGTGTGTGTGTGTGTGTGTGTGTGTGTGTGTGTGTGTGTGTGTGTGTGTGTGTGTGTATACATATATATATATATATATATATATATATATATATATATATATATATATATATATATATATATACATATATATATATATATATATATATATATATATATATATATATATATATATATATATGTACATATATATATATATTTGTTTATTTATTTATTTAATTATTTATGTGTTATATATATATATATATATATATATATATATATATATATATATATATATATATATATATATGTATATATACATATATATATATATATATATATATATACATATATATATATATATATATATATATATATATATATATATATATATATATATATATATATATACTATAGTATAGTATACAATCGTTTGTCCTTGGCCCTGGGCTATCATTCTGCGACATCAAATACGTTTTCTTTGTTCAGTTGAAAGGGTAAACTTCTCATATTAAGACCACCTCAAATGTGTGTGTGTGTGTATGTATGTATAGATACACACACACATATATATATATATATATATATATATATATATATATATATATATATATATATATATATATATATGTATATATATATATATATATATATATATATATATATATATATGTATGTATATATATATATACATATATATATATATACATATATATACATATATATATATATATATATATATATATATATATATATATATATATATATATATATATATATATATACGTATCACACACACACACACACACACATATAAATAGATATATTCTAAAATGTCCTTTACCTTTGGTGAAATACCATTAGAGTTAACAGTGTGACCCAAATACTCGACGGAAAAAAACATGATAACTATATAAGCCTTATTGACCATCTTTATTCTTTAGAAGTAGTGATCCAATACGATTTCTCTCGTTATTAATACAGGAACTGATAATGTACTAATAAGTGATGATTATCATGATAATCATAATTATAATGGTAATAATAATGATAAAAATAATAATAAGATAAACAGTTGTACAATGATGATGATAGTAATAACAACAATATTCATACAGATATTATTTAAAACAGTAATGATAACAGTGCAGCAATAATCTACCCAATTCATTAAGTTGCTTTGCCTCGTTGACATATATTTGCAATATTCTAAAAGTAATCATTCTGGCGTTCACCTAATATAAAGAACGGCAGAACTGACATCACCGTCAAAGGACGTTATCTGCCACGTCATATATCAGTATCTGGCTTTTGCTTTCACGCTATACTTTGGTGGCGCCGAGAAGAGCGGGTTGTAGTTGATGACGGGTTCCTCGCTCACGTCGTAGAAGTGGAAGCGCTGCGCCAGACACGCGAAGAAGAGGAAGAGTTCGAGGCGGGCCAAGGGCTCCCCCACGCACTGCCTCTTGCCTGGAAAATTGGATTATTAATTATAGGTATCAGTTTGGGTCAGTCATTTGCATATTCAACAAGGTTTTGTAGATTTCTTAACGGGAGAAACACTCATCAAAATGTAATCTTTAGAATCCCTGAACTAATTTATAATGGTAATAATAGATAAGAAAAGCAATAATACAATAATGATAATAATAAGAAAAACAATTATACAATAATGATAACATTAATAACAACACTATCAGTACAGGTATTAATAAAAAACAATAATGATAATAGTGTAGTAGTAATCTCCCCAATTCACTAAGATGCTCTGTGTGTAGATTTACCTGACCCAAAAGGCATGAAAGCCTCATTTCGTTTGTATTTCCCTTCATCGTCGAGGAAGTTCCTGGGGTCGAACTCATTCGGGTTCCTCCACAAAGCGGGATCCACCAAACAGTCTTCCATGTTGCCAATAAGCATTGTTCCTGCAATATGTAATGCTTTTTTAGAAAGAACTTTCTCTCTCTCTTCCTCTCTCTCTCTCTCTCTCTCTCTCTCTCTCTCTCTCTCTCTCTCTCTCTCTCTCTCTCTCTCTCTCTTCTCTCTCTCTCTCTCTCTCTCTCTCTCTTCTCTCTCTCTCTCTCTCTATTTCTCTCTATCTCTCTCTCTCTCTATCTCTCTCTTATTTAGCATTACATAAACTACAGACAGATAGCGTACCTTTAGGAATCGTGTAGCCACTGACTGTGACATCTGCCATCACAGAGTGTGGGAGACTGAATGGCACGAGTTTTAATGTCCTTTGCACCTCGTGTATGGTGGCCATTGTGTACGGTAACCTATAAGGAGGAAAAAGTCAGTGGCAATCGGTTCATAGCAAGAGGATGAAAAACCAGGAAAGGAGATGAGAGAGATCGGGAATAAAGAAGAAAGGGGGATTAAAGCAGAGTGAGGGAGATAAACTAACAGACAGGTAGACAGAGTAAGAGAACAAGCTATAGTTTAAAGAGAGAGAGAGATGCTCTTTGGGTAATACTTATTCAAATATCAAATTTTATCTTCTTTACATTTCTCGCGTGATCCTAAGACTCACTGGTCCAGCTGGGAGAAGGACGGCAGCTGGTCTCTGTCCACCACCCTGTCCAGTTCCTCTTGGAGGCATTTTTGGACCTCCGGGTGTTTTGCGAGCAAGTACACCGCCGTGGTCAGTGTGCTTGATGTAGTCTCACTTCCCGCAACAAACATTTCGAAAATCACACATATTAGCTGATCCACTGAAAATACAAACGGAGATTGCATGAGTGATGATGATACTTCATAAGTGGCTCTTAAAAAGGCATGAGGATTTCACGTAATGCAAAAGTAATATATTTTTATGAAGTCCCATTATGCTGTTTAATCCTGTTTGTCTGTGGATGAATAAAAGCCAAATTACTAGCGCTTGAATGACCGCGACGCAAATAACAGCAAGAGCAACGAGTGAGGAAGTGACTCCATTCAACCTACAGTGGAAGGAGGAAGATTCGCCTTCGCGCTCCTCGATTTCTCGCAGATACAGAGCCGTCAGGCAATCGCTCGTCTTCGCTCGTTCGCTGTTCCTGAATTCCTTCAGCTCATTCTGAAAGCAAGTCAGCAATATGTACTTTACTTCGAAGACTTTCTCGCACAAATGTGTAATACTTCGGGGAATCAAGTTCCGTTTACCTTGACGAAGTTGGCAATGTTCATAAGCGGCTTAACTTGATTCTTGAGAACGGGCAAGTACGGAGCGAGCTTGAGCACGCCGGGGATGAAGTGGAGAGGAGAGAGGAAGTTGATGTCAGCCGGAGCGATGAACGCCTTCAGGAGGGTGGCCAGCTTTTCGTCGCCGTAGGAGTACCTCTTACCCATCACCATCGCCCAGATCACGTTCAGGATGGATCGGTTGAAGAAGCGCTGGAAAATCGCACCAGTTAGTTTCTCTCACGTAAGCAC